TGAGCAAGACACAAGAAGTAATTTTTCAGCTCTACTCTGCAATGTCCAGTGTTCAGTCCTGCGCACCACGTTTCAAGAAAGGTGTGAAAAAATTGGAGAGGGTCCAGAGAAGAGCTACAAAAATAATTAAAAGTCTAAGAAACATGACCTAGGAGGGACAATGGAGAGAACTGGGGTTTGTTCCATTTGCAAAAGAGAATACTCAGTGGGACATGATAGCAGTTTTCAAGTACCTAAAAGGGTATTACAAGGAAGAGGGAGAAAAATTGTTCTACTTGGCCTCTGATGATAGGACAAGAAGCAAGGGGCTTAAATTGCAGGAAAGGAGATTTAGATTGGACATTAGGAAAAACTTGCTGTCAAGGTGGTTAAACACTGGAATAAATTGCCTAGGGAGGTTGTGGAATCTCTGTCACTGGAGATATTTAAGAGCCAGTTAGACAACTATCAGGAATGATCTAGATCAGAGGTCAGCTACCTTTCCAATGTGGTATGCCAAGATTCAACCCTCCTGCCCTGTGCTGCCCCACTTGTGCCTGCTTGAGCTCCTGCCCTGAGCTCTGTGGGGAGGGGAGGAGCACCACATGCACACTTCTCCACACTTGAGTGCAGGATCCGGGTGGGAGGTGGGGTACAGTAGCAGGCTGAGAGTAGAGTGTCTGACCAGAGGGATGGAGCAGAAGTGAGCTGCGGGTAGGTGTCTGGTCAGAGGGAAGGGGGCTCAAGCATGAGGTTGACTGGTCGTCTGGCCAGTGGGAGGGGGCAGGAGTAGGGTGCGGATGCAGGGTCTCAGCACGGAAGGGGTGCAGGGTCTGGGTGGCACTTACTTTTTTTTCCAGTGTCTGTAACAGGGTTTATTTATTGTAACAGTCACTTCCACATAGCAGCCAGATGCTGCTCCACACGTGGAATAAATTAGTGGCCCATGGGTCAAGTGTGGAATGGAGTCTGTGCCTCACCAGGAGTGCAGGGAGTCCAGCTGGCAGGGCCGGGCAGGCTGGCCAGGATCCAGCCTGCCGGCACCTGGATAACGGACTCCAGCGGCCCCACAGGGTTCTCCAGCGGTGCGAGTGCATGGTGCACGTGAGAGACACAAGGCAGTAGCGGAGCAGCAGGGACACAGCCATGGCAGCAGTGGGTGCTTCATGGAAGAGATGGTAGCTGGGTCTGAGTTTACCCCCTGTATTGCTCTCAGGCTCCCTGTCGCAGGCGTGGCTTCCCACTGCTCCATTGGCTGGATTCTGGCCAATGGAGCAGTGCAAAAAGCCTGCAAGCAGTGTACCGGTGCACTGCTTTGTTCTCCATCTGGGGGAGTGGGCAAGGGAGTGCGCACGCATGCGAGGAGCTGTTCGTGGCTCCGGCTTTTTCCCCGATTGCACAGTGAGGCTTGGGGCTTTCTCCACTCCACTGCCCCCAAGTGCCACTGAAAATCATCTTGCATGCCACTTACAACATGTGTGCCGGATGTTGTCGACCCCTCATCTAGATGGTGCTTGGTCCTGGAGTTAGGGCAGGGGACTGAACTTGATGACCTCTTGAGATCCATTCTAGTTCTAATGTTCTATGATTCTGTGCTTATATATCTGGAAGTTAAAAACGTGTCATCTTGTCTGTACATGATCTATGTAACATTTGCTCTGGACCCAAACTGTGTAATAGTGATTAAGAAGAATTTATATTTTGCATCAAATAATTCAGATATTGATCAGAACCTCATTGTAATTTGGGGTTTTGATAACTCCCTAGCTAGACTAGGCCTACCCATGGTGAGACTATTTCTAATTGCCTCACAGTATCAATGCAAAAGAATGTGGGGAAGCATATTTGATGGGATATGAGCTATATGAAAAATTCACAACCTTAAACTTTATTATATATTGATATGGAAAATGTGGTTCATTGAAGTACATCCCTAGCTTATTTTATTCAAATATTCTCTGACCATTGTGGACACTTTTTTTTCATATATTTAGGGTAATGTGCTCTTATGCCGAACACCTTTAATAATTACCTTACTGTTCAGTGTTTATATGCACGTTTTTGGATCTTTTTTCCACCATTTATGGCTGTTTTCTTACAGTTGTGGGTATTATCAGCGTAGCTAACAGATTAATTTCTCCACAGCATTAGTTTTGTCAATACTTTCCCCTGATATCAACCATTGGCTGTAGTCTAATGTAAATTAAATTAAAATATATTAATTAATACCATAGGTCATATGCATTCTTTAAAAGATGTTCTTTTCTCTTAATTCCCAATGATAACATTAGTTTAGCTTTCTCTTTTGATAACCAGTTTATTTGTGAGTCTGAGTAAGATACAATTGGAATGATATAAAAATGGTGATAGATCCACTGACTACAATTACTGCATACAGTACTCAGTGGTCAAATCTGGTAGCTTCACCTGAATTGCAATGCATCATTTTGTGCTCTACTTTGTTTTGTTGTTTGCCAGGATACAGTTTGTTATCCTAGTTCACTATTGAAATGACAGATTTATAATATGGATAGATACTGTATCAATATTATAAAACTTTAAAACTTCAAATAACAAAGATAGGTACTGGAATCTGGGCTTGGGTTGCAGCCACAAAGCATAGAGAACCCAAACTGGCTTTAAGGATGTTAAAATGCAATTATCTGGCTAATCGTATAGTCACTACAATTTGTATCAATTATACAATTAGTTGATAAGCACCTCTGGGCAGAGCCACAATGGGGGTAGCTTCAGGAGCTGACTCCAGCTGGGAATGAGCAGTCCTGGCTCGTGCTGGCTCCAAAGCCACCTGCCCTGCGGCTCTGCATTTTAAAGGTAGTAAGAGCCACTGGGCTTTCACTATATTTAAAATTCAGAAGCACAGCAATCAGCACTAGCCAGGACTGCTCGATCCTAGCTCACTCTGAGTCCAGTAGCCCCTTTTCATAGCAGACAGAGCAGCCCTGGCTGCCAGGAACAGGGGCTGCTTGGTGGCAACAGCCCTTCTCTGCAGGGGGCCCAGCTCCCCACTGGGACCCCTGCAGACAGTGGCTGCTTTGCAGCAGCATCCGCTATTCTCCTCCCCCTCTGAGGCGACAGGCCAGGCGGCACCCCAGAGACAACTTTTTAAGCTGGTTCCCCCCAGCATCGGTTCATGTCCTCGCGCTTGCTGCCTCTCATGGGGGAGGGGCATCACAGAAAGCATCGGGCGAGGGGGACTGATTGAATCTGCTTGAGTCCCCCTCACCCTGTGCTCCCTGTGGCACTTCCTATGGCACCCCCCAGTACCGATTTCTGCTCCCCCCTCTTATTGTCTATCTCTGATAGAGGTGCGAGGAGGACTAGTTGAGTCGCTACTCAACTATCCAATAAGCATTTGCTTATCAGATAGTCGACTAGCTACTAACATCCCTACATCCTATGTTTCTGATATATGTGATACAATATAGCCGCGTTTCTCAAACAGTGGGTCCCGACCCCCCGGGGGGTCGTGAGCAACTTGGAGGGGGGTCGCGGTATCACAAAGTTTGAGAACCCCTGCAATATAGTGATGTGATCATTCCCATATGTCAGCTAAGAACACATGTGAGCTCCCTCAGGTTAGCACTCCAGCACATCAGCTATGTCTGCTGAAATTGAACTTGCCGTACTCAAGTGAAGTTCAGGCCAAGCTGAAAAGAAATTATTCAGGCTGGCTCAAATGTGTGCAGCCAAGCTGCTCAGCCAGCCTTACACATCTGATTTTACCTCTCGTAAGTCTGCATTGAGTTTTACAAAGTCTGCTTCTGTTGGAGATTTAAAAACAGAATAACGTCTTTTGCTTCATTTAGACTCGGGATACTGCTTTACTTGGGGGTGTCTGCTTTGTATAAAGCTTTTCTATTTTTGGGTATAACATCAAGAAGAAGAAGATACTGGTTGTTTGCATTTCAAGAAGAAAAATAATATGTTTATGTTTTATTGCAGTGCACCAATGCCATATCTAATTGGAGTTCACTTAAGCTTATTAGAGGTGAGTAATTTTCAAACTGACTCCATCTATATGTGCGAGAAGGGGAAAGCATATGGGGTCATTATCTTTTTTCCTCGTGGGGAAAGGATTGGGGAGCATTTTGTCAATTGTTCTGTCAGGAACATGCATATTATAGAGATAACAATGTAGCTTAAATTCGACACCTTGGTCTAAACAAAGACATTAATTATCGTACCCAGGGGCAGATGACCGTTTTGTGGGGCCCCAGGCAGCATAATTCCGCGGGGCCCCCCCTTTGCAATGGCGCATGCGCGGGGCTTTCTGAAGCGCGGGGTCCGGGGCAGCCGCCCCAGTCGGCCCGCCCGCTATCCACCCCGCCCTATATCCGCCCCGATCTTATCCGTTACAAAGATAGCTTCTCCAATTATCACCTCTAATATCATTAGCTCACAGACATTTACCTCCCCCTCTCCCATCCCCCTTCTGTTCTGAAATTTGATTTGTCCTTTTCATATGTGTTCATTTTTTTTATTGTATCCTTTGGTATATATAGTTGTGCCAATTTTCTTCCACTATTTGATCTGAGGAAATGGAACTGGACCACAAAAGCTCATCACCTAATAAACCATCTTGTTAGTCTTTAAAGTGCTACATAATCCTGTTTTTTGTTTCAGCATATTATAGAGAATAACTAGAGCATGACTTACTCGGCATAGCATGGGTCTGGCCTGGAGGCTGGTTTGAGGGGCTCAGGCTGTCTGCTGGTGCTTTCCAGGCCAGCCTGGAGCCACAGGTGCTGGCCAATGATTGAGGGGGGAGCCTGGCCCAGGGCTGGTGGTTGGGGTCACACATCAGACCCAGCAGAGAGGAAGGGGGGCTGTGCAGGCCTGCCCCACAAGTTCTACCAGGGCTGACCTGGAGGTGGGGGGAAAGAGAGACTGCTGGTGTATTTGGTGGGGGAGAGGGGCTGCGTGGCACTGCCCAGCCCCAATGGTGCTCCGGGGGGGGAGGCCATGGGGCTTCCTCTCCTCTCCAGTCTGGTGTTGGGCTGAGGGCTGGGGAGGAGAAGTTTGAGGCAGTGGGGCACTTATCTGGGCTGGTGGCAGGCAAGATGGAGAGCCCCATTCACAGCTGGCCACTCCCTTGCTCGTGAGACTGCCCCCAGTGGTCACTCAGGAGCAGTGGCTGCCAACCTTTTTCACACCACAGACCAGCAAACCTATTCACAAACTTTTGGTGGACCGGTATCAGTTTATATGACAATGCAAATATGGAAATAAAGTGTTAGCGGTCCGCCAGAAGTTCCGGTCCCCAGAGCCGCTGCGTTGGCTTCAGCTCCACCAGGCCCCCGCCCCTTAGATCCCCCAAGTGCCAGCTTCCAAGTGCCAGCCATGCAGCTCTGGGCCTGGCCACTGGAGCAGCTGTGAGCTGCCTGCCACGTGGCTCTAGCTATGGCCAGAGCTCAGAGCAGCCACCACTTGCGTAGCTCCTGCCCTGCGGAAGGGCTGAGGCTAGGGCTAGTGCCAGGTGGTGGCTGCCTTGCTGCTCCTTGGGGCTCTTCCTCAGAGGGAACACTGGGTGGGCAGCATGCCCCAGCCCCCAGAGCTCCGGCAGCCAGCAGTTTACAGACCAGACTGGCGGTTGGGAACCACTGCTTTGGAGGATAGCTGTCCCCTGCTCTCACTTCACCCCACGTTTGTGACTGTGAGTATTGCATTCCTCTTCTTGGCTGCCTCTCTTTTCATGTTGTGGAAAACAATTCAATTCCAGGTACAACCCATTTCCCTAGCACAATCAAACCCTGGCCTTGCTTTAAGTCAGGATAAGAGGAATCTGCACATCAGCTTTGTCGGTTTTAGCTCTTACCATTTAGGACCATGGTGGGGAACCTATGGCCCAGGGACCAGATGTGGCCCCTGAGTCTCCTGGATCCTGCCCCTGAGGCTTGGGGCTCTCTCCCCAGCATTGGGAAGCCAGACCCACCAACTCTCCTGCACCCTCCCTTCCACACAGATCGGACACCTCAAGCCCGCTTCCAGGCAGCCCTCTCACACACACTGAACCCCTCAGTTCTTGAACAAATGGACTCACAGACAGATACACAGACAGTCAGATGCACAAATCTCTAAAATGTATATAGAGAGATTATAACAATGTTGCTTAGAGAATGATTACCAGAGAAGTGAAGTGACTGACCTGAAACACTGAAAGCACCATGGAAGTGGAAATGTCCTTATGTGGATATTCAAGCCTTCCATCGTGTCTGACTGTGCCAAAAGAAGGCAAGAAGACATTTAATATGGGTTTAATCAGGCTGCAACTTTATTGTTAGATATCTGGAACTACCCAGCAGATAAAGGGCAGGTAACCCTCCCTTGTTTTCTCCCATAATTAACCAAGGGAGGTGCCTTTACACTCCCCTCCCTTTTCCAGCCACGTCCTTCCAGCAGATCTATTTCCTAGACCTTACAATTCCCCAGCTCCCTCTCTTTCCATCCAGATCCCTTCAGCTGGACCTTATCAACCAACCCACTTGTAGAAGGGGTAAGGTGGACTATAATGATAGGATGGGGGGTGTTGGCTCCAGACCGTATCAATCACAGATGTCACCAACTACTCCGAGCTTGCTCAGTTTCTGAGCACTTCCCCTTAAGTCATCTCCCCAAGACATTTATTCTTTACTGTATGCCTTCTTTGATGGAGTACGACCACTGAACATCCACTGAACACTTAAACAATGAACTGCTGCGAGGAAAGCAAAAAAACCCAACTGCACCTGGGCCAATATGGTGAAAAGGGAAAAATTTCTTCTCGGCCTCCCTCAACAGGGCAGCTAGTGTGACGTCTACATCAGATATAGCCAGTAATTTGCTATATTTGCCTTCAAAATGGGGAGGGACGGTAGGTTCTGCCAAACCTACTCCATGAATCAGAAGGGAGGGTTCGGGCACAAGCTAATCTTTTAAAACCCCTCATTGATTGGTGATTAGTCAGCCACCACCCTAGCTCCTTTTCCAGCAGTTTTATACTCCCTCCCCCAAGCCATCAGGAATCACTCTCTCTGTCAGCACAACAAACAGTAGCCCAGCTTAGGATGTAGGTTTGTGAATGTGCTTTTACTTATTATACTTAGTTATCTTTATATGAGCTTTCTTGTGTATTATGTATGGTGTAGTTGACCTCCTGTAAGATGGAGTACATCTGCTTCACTAATCTTGAATGGAAAGTCAACCTAATTCACGTTGATTACATCTACACCGATGGCTGGCCAGAGTCAGCTGACTGAAGCTGGAGTGTGGACTCTGGGACCCTTCCCCCGATGGAGTCCCAGAATCTGGGCTCCAGCCCAAATGTGAATGTTACATTGAAGTTTTATAATCCTACAAGCCCAAGTCAGATGACGTGAACCAGCCACAAATGTTTTGTAGCAGTGAAGACTTACCATTAGGCTACAATATTCCATTTTACAGAGTGAGAAAGACTTCTTGTAGAAGCTGCTGCTTTTCATTTTGTATATAGAGTTGTCATCCAGTGTCTCTTAGCCTTTAAAGAACTTGGGAAAATGGTTCTTCAATGCCGTGGACATTGCAAATGTGCCTAAATCCTTTGGCCTCAAGTTTTAACTAATAATTAAAATAATGAGAATAGTAAATAAGACTCCTGTGCAGTCTGCTAAGTATCTGTGGCCTGTCCAGTCAAAAGTCAGACATTCTAAAAGAGTATTAGATTTGATTTTCAAATTTAATTTTTTATACTCTTACTGTGCTGAAGCCCTCTCTGTAAAAACATTTCATGCTATCAAATGTTCACACGCAGGCATAACCATAACTAAAAACGTTCTTGTTTTGCCCAAAAACTAAAGGTTACTTTTCTGGAATGTTGGAAGAAGGAATGAGAGTTTCTAGGCACTCTCCATGAGCAGTCATTAATGCTTTGGAAACAACAGCTCCTGTTGTGTTGATTTGTAATCGTTTGAAGGTGTCATTGACCCTGTTTATATGCTTTTATGGTCAAGTTCTTGACTTTCATAGAAGGTACTTTATCAGCTTTACATTCAAGGATTCTATTAGGTTTAGACTTGAAATAAATAATGTCATTTATAAACAAGAGTAAATTTGCATTTGCTATGTTGTGATAGGACTTTTTTCCCCCTTCGATCCCCACCATCAAGCACAAGAGACCTTTCTGTCCTGAAAAGACCCATTTCACAGCTACATTGATGATTCCAGGCATGGTCTTTTGTACTCCTCCTTTCGGAAAAGATCTTACGTCTAGACATGCTGTTTGTGTTAACATAGTGACATGAAACATTAGATTCCTCTTATCTTCGTCTTGAAGGGCATGTCTAGACTACAAGCCTCTTTCAAAAAAGAGCGTCTAGACAGCAGCCTCTTTTTTCGAAAAAGAGTGATGCTTTTTCGAAAGAGAGCACCCAAGCACTCTGGATGCTCTCTTTCAAAAAAGTACTGTTTGCATTTATTAACGCCTTTTTTTGAAAGAGCTCTTTTGAAAAAATGCATTATTCCTCGTAAAATGAGGATTTCCATGGTTGAAAAAAACTTCCGCATTGTTTCTATTTAATTTCAAAAGAACGCGGCAGCCATCTTGACGCAGGTGAAGGGTTTTTTTTTTTAAAGGCCAGTTTAAAAAAAAAAAAAAACCCTGTAGTCTAGACACATCCTAAGGGTACGTCAACACTGCAATGCTATTTTGGGATACCGGAGTCTCCCAAAATAGCTATCCCATGTCTTCACAGTAATCTCATTGTTTCAGGATCGCTATTCCGATGTCCCTGTAAACCTCATTCCACAAGGAGTAAGGGACGTTTTAGAATAGCACTTTATTTCAAAATTTTGGGCTGTGTAGACAGAGCCAAATGATGAAATAAGCTATATCAAAATAGCATTGAAATAAGATACGCAATTTGCGTGGCTCAGATTATGTATCTGAATTTGAATTATGGTGCAGTGTAGACTAAGACAGTAAATCATCTGAGAAAAAATTACTGTGCAACTGAAACTACGGAGTTATTCCTTTGAGCCATATTATTTCCAGGACTACATAGATAACAATTAAGTCAGCTTCCTTCCAAAGAACAAATCACAGAACTCTCACCTTGTGACCACAACCTCTACAGCTAATCAAATGAAAGAAGAGAGAGAGAGGATAATTGTTCCTTCATGCTCCCCAGCAGGTTGTGGGCCTAATCCCATGCACCATGGCAGCCAGTCCAGCCCTTCCTCTTATTTTCCCCTTACCACCTGTTTGTATGGAAAGGGTTAGAAACATACCTGGGCTCTGCTCTTGAGTCTATGAGCTGTTCTGGTGGAGAAGACCTTGAGGAACAGAAACATACATCAGTCCCTACAATATTTCCATTGTGTTGGCACTAGGACTCGTTGAACTTCCTTTCCATCACTCCTGGTGATAGAAACAGCTACATATTCACCTGATCTGCTTACTGTCATGTATAGATTTCAGATTATACCAACAGTTCTGGTTTTTAGTTTAAAATGCTGTTTAATTTGATAGTTCCGCTAGTGCAGAAGCTATTTGACTATTGCTTTTACGGTAAAGGTTCAGAGATCATTTGCGCTAAACTTATATTTTTATGTGATGCCCTTCCCATCTATAGTTCAACTGCTATTCAGCACCTTCCTTTGTTTCAGTAGTAAATGAATTGTAGCTGCAGCTGTCTCACCAATCATCATGCTCTTTGGCTGGCTGGCAGTCAGTTCTATTCTGACATGTTGATGTAAAAGACATCAAACTGCTGTAGCATTATGGTCATCCGAATCATTTGTTAGGCTTCTGTGATAGCGTATTGGGCAAATCTTAACATTTTTTCCCCTTTATCATGAGCTTGATTTTTTTCTTTAAAAATAAATGTAAATTGGGTGCATAGTATGTCACAGATTACAGTATATTCATTTTACCTTTTATAATTTCCCTAAAATTAAAAGGTGATTGTACACTGCTTATGAAACCCCGTTTTGCCACTTTCACAATCCTCATACTTGTTAAAACTGCGTAATTCACTTGTGATTTTGAAAGGCACAAAAATAGATGATAGACTTGAATATCATCAACAAATCGTTAATTGGTGACCTCTAAATGCCTAACTTCCTAGTTTCATCCCACATTATTTTAGTATAGGGGTTAAAATAAATGAATTAAAACTCTTTGAACTGATGAAGAGTTATCGAAACAATTTCAAAATGAAGGGTCAAATTTCACATTCAGTTATATATGTGCATCCACGTTGCCAGCAGCAGGATTACATGGGTGTAATCAAGGGCAGAAATTGTTCAAAAATATTTGAATAAAATTATGTATTTTACTGTTGAGGTTCCACACAGTTATTTCTAAGTGATGATATTTAAGTACAATATGCAGTTTTTGTACTCTTGCTGTTCACTGAAAAGGAAAGTACTTTTTAACACTTGACATAATGATATCCTTGGCCCAAAACATGAAAATGTTAACTTTTCATATATTTGTAAATTGTTGCAAGCTTATTATAAGCCTCAGTTAAGCATAGAAAGTTGTGTAATATAGGTGGACAGGGTATTAAAATACTAATAATCACTCATATTTTTTTTCTTAACAGAAGGTAAAAAATAGATCATTGGAGGATGTGGTTATGCTAAATGTTGACACAAATACTCTAGAAAACCCATTTAATGACCTGAACAACCTACCTACTGAAGTGGTGAGTCTGATGGGTATTTCATGTTGTTCTTTTCTTTTCTAGTAGCTTGAATTACTAATAGTGATTTTTGCCTGCTTTTGCTAACTGAAATAAAAGGAATAAGGGTGGAAAGTAGTAGATGTAGACCCCATATTTAAGATTTTTTTACTTTTTTTTTTTTTTTTTGGACAGTTGAGGAGATGTTGAATGGAACATCATATACCTTATTGTAAAAGCAGGATCATAATTATAAAGCTAGCTGCATTCATTAGGCATTGCTGCTTTAAACGCAAGAGTCTCTTCATCTCATCTTAATCATTATATTACAAAGTAGGCATTTCTGTCTGCCTAGTGGCATGTCTTGCAAAAGAACGAGAGAGTTTTTGAAGGCAAAAAGAAGAAGGGGGCCAATTATCGGCTTCTGCTTCCCTGCCACCTGCCAGCGCTTTTCCTTTTAATTAATGATCTGATGGCACTGGTCAATATAATAAGAAATGCTTGTACAGTTGGGGTCAGAAAATTCAGGCTTTGATCATCTTCAACTTTCTGAAACATTTATTTGTTTTCTCTAAATTATTTCAGTTTTATTTTAATCTCTTCTATCCTGCTGAGGGGCGCATGAATGAAAACCTACACTGTTTGTCATTTGCTTTGGCAGAGCAAAGACTGCTTACTTAGAATTCTATTTGTAAATTAAACTGCTAACCCAGTTTGTCATAAAAGACATCTGATCCTTTTGAAATGACGAAAACTGTCTTTTGTCTGTAAAGGATGATAAATTAAGTGCCAGTTCTTTCTGGACTTTGATCTTGCACAGATTTTCCCCTCCTGCTGCTTATAATGGAACTTATTCTGTATTTCATGTTAAATACTCTCAAAAAATGCATTACACTTACCTTGCTTTTCCTAATATAATGCTCAAAGGGTATCCTTTTGATAACAATGTGTGTACAGTATTTAGAGTTTTAGCTATTCAAGAGGTAATACTAGTGTGCTATTTTAAATATTTCAACAAAAAGTATTTTATGGAGTGAAATCAGGTAGTACCTGTTTCCAAAATTTCAGTCCTTTTAAACCCAGTATTTTAACCACATTAAGGAACTACTACAGCAACTGAGAAGCCTTTCTTTATTTCAGTGGTAATCTGTCTCACTGAATATATGATAGAAAGCAAAATCCCAATGCTTACATTAATGCTCAGCACCAGTTTATTTTAATATTATTATATTCTTAATTTTTTTGTGATAACGAAGGCAGAATTTGATCAGATAAAGTGTCAAATGCAGCTATCTCCAAGCTCTAATGAAAGAATTTTATAATGTGATTGTGGTATATTTGTCAGTCACTTTTAATGTATTGTATTTTTATAAGAATAACAAGTTACATCAAAAACTACCATACATTCATCGTTGTAGCAGCAATTCCAGCTGATTTTGCATTAAATGAAAAATATTAGTGTGTTGAGGTTAGAATGTATGCCATAAAGTATACACTCTCTGCTACATGACAGTTAGATGTGAAATTCAGAATTAAGCATAATCTGTTACATATCAGTATTACAATTGACAGTGATTTCAGATTGTAAAAAACAGTGCACACACAAGCAGGAAATCTGTTTTTAAACATGCTTATCAAAATACTCTGATGAGTAGGTTGAATTAAAATAAAATTAATGAACACAAATTCCCATAGTTTTAGTGATACGTTGTCCTAGAATACGTGTGTGTGTTAATGTTAATAAGGGTTATCCAGACACATAGACTACACAATGGACTTTTTATAAAATGCAACATTCCATATTCATGATGGAATAAAACAGGGAAACTATTTTTATAGATGTCTCACTTGCCAGATTTTATTTGAATATATTTTTTCTGGGCAAAATAAGTGTTAGTGGGTTACTTTATATTTTGTTTGTCTCCCCATCTCTTTCTGATTTGAGCAGTAAAACAGTATACCTTATGGAACTAATTTGTTAATTAAAAACACATACAAATGTGGGTGAAAAGTCCTAAACAAAGGGTACAGACAGTATACAGTTTTGGCTTATAAAATGACAGAGGAGAACAAACTGGTTTTGCTTCATAAGAGAAATTACTGTTATAAATGCTAATATGGATATAAATATTTGAAGTATATTATAGAAATATAGAACAAAATTATTGATCTAATCGAAAAGATCACAGAAAATACTTACAGATGTAAAACATATGCATACATATAAATAAAGCCAACAAACGTATAGACAAGGGTAATAAACCTTTTAATGAAAAAAATATATAAACAGGAATAGCAATTAAGAGTGTTAAAGCACAACAAACTGCTGAAAGTAAAAAGGAAGCTTTAAGTTTACCATCCCCCTCCAAAAACTGGTTTCAGACAACCATAATAAATTTAACATTTTCAAAGGATATTCTGAAACTGCCTCTTGTGTCTAAAAGGAAATTGGATAACAGCTTTCTTAATCAATAAGCCTGAAGATAATATGTTTTCAGGGGTGAGACATGTAACAGTTGAGCAAAGTCTAATACTATAACTATTAAAATGTTGATATTTCTTTTATTGTGAATCAATTTCTTTAAAAATATAATATGAAATCTGAAAAAAACCTATTTGATATTGTGTCTCATAGATTATAATTAACTGAGATTTAAATAACCTTTTTAAATCATTCACTTAAGCATTTAAATTATACTTACAGCCTAGATAACTTTCTGTGCATGTGAACTCTATTATTTTGTCAGATTGACCAGTGGTCTTGACTGTTCAAAGGTCAGTGGTCACAGTTGTCCTGAATTACCAGTCCTTTTTTCATGTGGACCCTCTGCTGCGTTGCATGCTGTAATCTTCTTAATGGCTTCATTCCAATATTCACACATAATATTCTAGATTTATTGACTGCTAGAAATACTACCATGCCAGTAGCAGTTCCGCTATTCCTAAGGTATTTAAAATTGGAAACATAAATCAATGCAAGACTTTCAGGAATCCTTTGTTTTCCTTAAAGGAGTTGGGGATGGGGGCGAGAAGCCTTCTTTCTGTCTTCTGACAGGAACACTTGTTTTTATATTTCATCGTTTCACTATAGAGGTTGCCTCATTTCTTTAAAAAAAAAAAAACAGAATAAATAACGATTTTAGTAAGAGTTAATTATCTAATACTATAGACCTTAGAATGCCATTTTTTCTTGTAAGTTCTTGTATTATAAAGTTTTTAGTGATGATTGAGACTACAAGCACCTCAAAATTATTAATGTTAGGTCCAATCTAGCAGTGACTTAAATATATGTTTAACTTTATTTCAGTGGGACTATTTATGTACTTAAAGCTAAGTATGTTCATAGAGACTTTCAAGATCGATGTCATTTGTTTAATGCCATGAACAGTTCCATTGACCTCATGATTGGGCCCGCTTCTTGTCTTGCTGTTTGTAAGTGCTTTGAGAAATATGGAAATGATTGCAGAAAATTATGATTTAATATTTTTTTGCATTTTGTTAAAAAATGTTGCCAAGAGCTAAAAACCTATGGAACAACTGAAAATGATATAGTTTTATTCAATTAGACACTAAAATGCAGAACAGTGCCTGTAATGTGTTCTTTCACCATCAAGAATTACATTTTAAAAATGCAAAGTAATCCACTGTATCTCAGCTTTCTATTTAAAACCATGACATATTTGATAAGTACACTCTAATTTATTCAGAAAACACAATATTTGCTTTAAATAGTAGTTCCTTTGAGAATAAGTTATTCCTCAAAGTACAACAGTTAGTGCTGTTACAAAATAAATTGTGATTAGTTCATAACTGTGAAATTGATTTCATTAGTCATAATATTTAATTTTTTTACTTATAAAGTGTATGATTAGGAAAATGTATTCTAAAAACATTTTCTAATCTGTTAGAAATCAAGAGTGGCTAGGAAAGTAGGCAATATTGGGAGAGCCAGCTGCTTATGTGCAGGGATTTTTACTATCATTTGGCAGCACATCGAACACTGGTGTAATTTTAAAACTTAGAATATTAGATTAAAATTATTTGAACCCTGTTTTGGAAATATCTACATTAAACAGATGCCCACCATTGTTTAAAAATAAAATGATATTTACATTTGTAGGGCCTGTATGTCCAAAGTCAGTGCATAGAGAAAGTCTTTTCATTTAATATTAATGATCTACGTATTCTGAGATTAGTAAATTTGTTTTAAACTGCCCTCCATTTCCGTTTTTTAGCCATTCCTCTTTCTCACTGCTTGTGATTTGTCTTATTCTTACAGTGGCCTGATTTAGTGTGAATGATTGTTGAAACACAAGCAACTACCACTCATATTAGAATAATATCTTGAATATCTATCTGGGAGATTTGAGTACCATGTGCTTTGGTTTGTAGACACACACACATGTGATTTCTGTCAAGAGGCTTGTGACAAGTTTATTTTAGAGAATTTACAACCAAACTTAAAAGGAATAGAGGATCCAGTCCTGCAGTCTGTAAAAGTTCTAATATTGCATACCAAATGCATGCAGGTAGCTCCTGCAGTCAGTCAGACTACTCACCCAACTTTGATTCTATAAACATCTGAGCATTTTCATTACTTAACTATCATGAATAGGGACTATGTACATGTAGAAGTGTTTTCAGGATCAAGCAGTGTTTGCAAGATGAATAGTCCTCTGATTTTAGAGAGACCACTTGCATTAATTTGGCCTGAGGATTAGAGTTTTGGAGGCTGTAGGATAGGATTCAAGTTTGGTTGTAAATTCTCTGAAATAAATGTGTGAAAATGAGCATGAATTTGGGAGTGAGGTTCAAATTAAATATTTGAATTTGGCAGCAGTACTGGGAGTGAGGTTCAAAATAAATATTTTTAACTGTGTTAACAATTTAAATGATAATGGAAATAATTTTATGAATTATTTTGCATATTTTTACTACTTTTTTACTGTTTATTTTATATTTCTTTCCACTTGGGCAATAAAAATAAACTAATCAGTTTCACTTTTATTTCTAGTCAGTTTCTT